TGGCAGGTATGAAAGCTTATGTGTGTATGTGTGTGTAGTTGTGTGCATATGTGTGTGTGTGTGTGTGTGTGTGTGTGTGTGTGTGTGTGTGTGCGTGTTTGTGTGTGTGAGAGAGAGTATGAGTGTGTATGTATGTGTGTGAGTATGTGTGTGTACGAGTGTACGCACGCATGTATACGAGTGTGTGTATACAAGTGTATGTTCGTGTGTTTGTGTAAATTATGTATTTGCCTGTTTGTGAGTCTGTGTAGTTTTGCCTGTGTGAGTGTAAGTATACGTATGCGTGTGTGCGTATTCGTAAACAAAATGAGGGCAGGGGGTCGCTGCTAAGACAACTATAAACCGATTGCAAATCCATTGAGCAACTTCACTGCTCAGCTGGAATCACCCTATAACGTGCAACTCCAGACTCCTTCTTTCACCTGTGAGTTCCTCGTGGCAAGCTTTTTACCTGCCCTGGACGCCAGCTGAGAAATGCGTCTTGTCGCGATAGAATCAGGCGCTCGTCAATATTTGGACGTATTGTGGAATTATTGCTGCTATCTTGAAGCTCCTTCGTTCGTCTTGCTTTCGATGGAACGAAAATATTAATATATCTGTAATAGTAGTTTACATATTTGTGTTTAAATATTTGGTGTATGAGTGTGTGTGGGAGGAGGGAGGAGGTGGCAGGTGCCCGATGTAACACAGACAGAAAGAGACCACTACTATTTGGTGACTACCAAAGCTTGGCGTCCTTAGAAACAGCACTTTTGCAGTTTGTGTGCCTTTTATTAAAATCAATCAGTAAAATCCAAGCCGAATTTTTTTTTCTTTTTGAACGGACATAAACATTGTTAATCACAAAATAAAAAAAAATATAAAAAAGCAACAATTTTAAAAGTCGGTAAAAATTGACCAATGACAGAGAAAATCTATGTTTCGACAATTCCTTTATTTTGACGAGCGCCTGACTTTAGCACGATGCCACACACATGTTCCCCCGATAATAAAACACACTTATGCACAACAGGGGGACGGTGGGAGATTCCTGCAGCGCAAATCAGTACTGACATCGGAGCACCTCAAGGAAAGAAACTTGGTAAGGTCGTTGTGAGCACGCAGGGGGAAGCTAGATTATAGAGATAATGCGTATCTTTGGCGTCCAACTCAAGACGTATATCTATCACATTTGCTAAAATACTTCAACATGTATCAAATTATGTTAATCACAACAGTAATTAAAACGGTTGATATTATAATTATATGTAAAAAGAACATTGTATCAAAAATGTTGACCAAATGAAAACATTTTTTTTTGGTAGATAACAAGAAGGAAATATTATAACATTTTGTTTCACTCCACTTTTCGGAAAACCAATGTACCTGAACATAAACAGTCTGGTTCAGATTATATATGGCACAGTGACCGGGCAAAGTAACTTTTATCGGTGACAGGAGATGAGGAAGGGTTGTGTGTATGTGCTTTGGGGTGAGGGGT